GTGGAAACTTTAACAGCAATAAATTTATATATAGTACTTCCACTAACTAAGAAATAATGTTTGCAAAGGTCAATTCAACTGATGGAAAGTTGCTCCGAGCAATAAATATTTATTCGAGCTAAGTAGACTGCTTTTTAGATATGACCCTAAGCCAATATGAATAGGTGCTTTATGTCACTGGCTACTCTACAAATGGAATATGCTATCAAGGCAATACAGATGCTTATCGAACTTTTATTGCTAAGTATTCTACTAATCATATTGTTGGAATGAACATAATACAAATAAAAGAATTTCCTAATTAAAAGATTGGAACTTAACAGTATTACTTTAAAAGAATTGGAATTGACTCAAATGGCTATTTAGTAATATTTGGAGACGCATACTTCGATAATTAAATAGTTAGACATACAAGCAATAACTAAGATGCATATTCGATAATGGGATTCAAAGGAGATTAATTTATTTCGGATAGTGATTGTTACTCAGACATCTCTTCTTCATTTTCAAATGCTGCTCTAACAATTAATTCCTTGAATTGGTAATAACAAAGTTATTCTGTAGAATTGCATTCTTCCATAATGACAAAAGATGTTTTTACAGCAATGACATTTTCAAATGTACTTTCTACTACCTATATCCAATATGGCTTTTGTAATTCAGAGTTTTCAACACCATCAATGTCAAGCTAAAGACTATTAAAAGGTGAATCTATTTAGAAATACTGGAACACTGAAACTTCAAATATTAATGATGGATTATGTAAATAATCCCAGCGTCTAGCATGGGATACTGCTTTATTGCTAAATGAAAATTCTCTTGTCTCAAGTTTAAATGGCATAAACTTTGACAATGCAAATTAAAAATTTACAGGAACAAGCAGCGTCTCAGGAACATATGAACTTCTGCTTTTGTCATCATTGATTAATGGCCAGTATGCCTCTTAAACCTTTGCTCTAACTATTTATGAAGAAATGCCTTAAGCAATTTAAAATATATCGGATTAGACTATTATAGTTGGATACTTTTGGAAATATTAACTAAACATTACAAATCTAACTAGCTATAGTTAACCATTGAAACTTATGTACAATGCATTGAAAGGAGATGGTAATAGCTTTGATGACTGGCTTAATTTCTTTCCTGAGAATTAGACTTTCCTTGGTATTCCACTTAAGGTACACACATAGGATATAACAGTAATAATCTCAAATGAGTACAGAGAATAGACAATCCTATAGTTTAAAGTAAATGTAATAAGCAATGGTCTCAGATAAATTAATTAACAAAAGGATTTTTGTGGATATAAAGGTACAAATCTTACTAATACAGTTATAGAGCTTGAATAATTATTTGAGAGTATAGATAATCATTCTATTTAAATGTCAGCTTAATCTTCAAAAACACCTAGCATTATTCGATTTGATGAGTCAACATAAACTATATAATTTAATTCTTAACCAACATCATTCCCTTACTTTACCTCAATCACATTAAAAGGTAAAACTCACTTTGATGAGAGTATCTAAACTCAATTTGATGTTACTATTCTAGAGTTCTTATTACAAATAGATAATATCTTGCCAAAATGTTAATAACAGCAAACTTATCTCTATCTAGATAATGAGTCTGAAGGGGTTTATAGCCTTAACTTTAAGTAATGTTTCAAGCCATTTGGAATTACTCAAATCAAAGATCTCTAATTTGATTTAATACTAACTAATGGAGAAAAAGTTGAAGAAAATGTGTTTTAATTGGATTAGTAGTAATGCGAACTATATATAAATGCTTATGCAAGATTCTAGGGTAAATATTATCTTAGAATACTAGCTACTGATTTTTGTGGCACTATAGTCTATTTGGATTTAACAGTAATTATCAATACTAAACCTAAAGCACAATCCCCAATATATCCTGCTTAATAAGCATAAAACTTTGCAAATTTCTACTTTTAGATAAAAGATGATTGGTTTACAGATAATGATCCTTTTGATAATGAGCTAAAATACTCAGTATAATTTAATTTAGGCTCAGATCAATGGCTTAGTTTCAATCCTGGAAAGATCTCATATCTTTATGGGAAGCCCTTTGCTGAAATCAATAACTAATCAGTAACGATAAGAGCGACAGATAGTTACGGGCTCTGGGCTGAATCTGTGCTGCCTATTCACTTCATTTTGAATCGACCACCAGTTGTATCAAACTTTACTTCTCTCTTCTATACCTACTTGGCTGGTTAGTAAATGCAGATAAAATTAAACCCATAATTTTCAGATGAAAATTACGATTCCTTGATATATGGACTTCGCTTTAACAATAAATACGATCTCCCTGAATGGATAAAATTCAATCCCTTATCTGCTACAATTAGTGGTGTTGCTCCTAAAGTCAAGCAAAGTACTAATTTCACATTCACATTATATGCAAATGATAAGGCAGAGACATTCGCATCTAAGGATATCAAGATTTTAGTACTGAGGAATAATCCACCAGTTATTAATAAACAGCTTAAGCAGATCGAGTTCTATACTAATAAGTATAATCTATACTAATTTGAGAGTGACTTATTTATAGATATGGATGATAATGACACTATAAAATACGAACTCGTTTAAAATTCATAGGATTTATCTTAGAATTTTACAATTTAAAATCTGATATTTTACTCTGGAAACAGAACATTAATTTACAACCCTGATTAACAAGTAGCCTAAGATATTGTCATTAAACTAGTAATAAAAGCTATTGATATATTGAATTAAGAAGCGTAAATTGAATTTGAACTGATAATAATTAGTGTAGAGGGTTATGGATCCGAGATTAATATGATAATAGGTGGAAGTATATTGATCATTACTGCTTTTGGCATGTTTATTGGTGTCATTTTTATGAATTAAAAATTATTCAACAAAATTAACAAAGAAGAGCTTGATTTATTCCATAAATTCCTCTAAGAAACTGACTAGCAAACTCTAACTTAGATTCAAGCTAAGAAAGCTCATATGGATTGATTTTTATCAATAAAACTTATATGGCAATTTTAATTTAGCAAGTTAATATAACTCTGAATATAGAATGCAGGGGTTTTGGGGTTTTGGGGTTTTGGGG